ATGCACTTCCCCTATCTGGCAGGCGGCACAAGGCAGAGTAAGGGGGTGAAGTATTTATTCTTCCCCAGAACAAGGTTGGTGATGATCAGGGGAAGCACTGTGAATGAATCTCTGCTTGTTTTCTGCTCAGGTTCAGGTGTGCAGGAACTCACCTCAGTCTCTTATGCAAAGCAATTGCTAAAATTACACTGTAGTCTTAAATAATTTACTGAAACAACTTACAGGGGTGGGCATGTAGTATTATCTCCATTTTACAGATAAAGCGTTAGCTTCCATAATGGATTTAGGCACCTAGAATAGAATGTAGGTAAATTTGAGGCCTAAATGCAAAATTACAATCCAGTCCCCTAACCCCTCAATCTCAGTCAGCTGCTGTCCAACGCTGAAGGCACCTAAGCTAACTAAGTACACCCCTGTTTGCCTTTAAAATTCCCCAAACACCTACACTTCACAGCACATTTGACTAAATCATCCCAGTCAAGTGTCTGTCTACCCTGCTACTGAAAACTTTCAAGGATGGAGATTCCACAGTTTTTCTAGGTAGCCTGTTCCAATGCTTGACCTCTCTCATAATCAGAAAGTTCCACCAAATTTCCAACATAAATTTCTTCTGCTGAAGTTTGAGGCCCTTGCTTCTAGTCCAGATCGCTGCAGCCACAGATAAAAGCCTACCTCCATCCTCTATAACTGCCCTTCAGGTATTAGAAGACTATTATCAAATCTTTTCTCAGTCTTCTCTTCTCCAGACTAAATAACATTCGTTCCTTCAGGCTATCCTTTTTCCAATCTGCACAATGTCACTGAACTCTTTGCAATCTTTCCATAGCCTTCTTGAAATGTGGGACCCAAACTGGACACAATACTCCAGGTGATGCCTCACCAGTATTGAATCACTTCCCTTGATTTGTGACACTGGTGTTAACGTTGGCTTTTTTTTTTTTTGGCAAGAGAATACTTTTGGTTCATATGCATTTTATGGTCTACCATAAACCCAGGGTCCTTCCCTACAGTACTACAGCCTACCCAGTCTTCTCCAGTCTGTATTTATGCATGCAACTATTCCGCCGCAAGTGCAGGACTTTACACTTGTCCTTACTGAGTTCCATCTGATTGCCAACCATTTTTCCAGTCTATTCAGGTCATTCTAGATCGTAGCCCTACACTCTTGTGTCTGCAACTCTATGCACCTTGGTGCCATCCACAAATTTGCTAAGCATGCTCTCAATCCCACCAGCCACTTAGTGCACACAATATTAGGCCATGAGGTGGTGGTACCCACATTTTATATCAGTGCTTCTCAACCTTTTTAGATTCAAGGCACCCCTTATTAGATTCAAACTGCTCCTTGGAAAATGTCGGCTTTTAGCTTTCACTTGTTTTTGACTACAGAAAAATAATACAGCAACTCTTCTGCTGGAAAAAACCCTCAAAAAGCCCCCAAACAAGCCCCTCCCTTCCACAATAGGTTGGAAAGCTTTTGATGTTATGGATTCCTGTTTGAAATCTCTGGATTTATTTTGTGAAGTGTGTAGGTGTTTGCACACCTTTCAGGGTTGACATTGGATAACACTCTTAAAAGGATCTTGTGGCACCCTGGTTAAATATATGATGGGAGGCCTAAAGAAGTAACAGAAATATCTGTTTCTTCTAATAGAGACACTTCCAATATAAAGCTACTCTGACTTAGTTGTGAGAGCTTCATTGTGCTTTAAACAGATCTTCTATTGGCCATTTTCAATGGTGGGGGGGAACTTTACACAGCCTTGGGCTGGCAGCTGGATCCGCGCAGGGACCACCACACCCATGTTGATCTGAAGACCAAATTAAGACGTCTTACTGTAATGTCAAAGTACATTAGTCGTAACAGAAATCTCTGTGACATTGGTGGCAGAGTGAATTTCACAAAAACGTGTTTTAAAAATGAGAGGAGCACCGATACATTGGTCTGATATCGGATCAGTACTGATACGAAGAAAATTGTCTATATCAGATATCAGCCCTATGGGGCTGATAATTTGGCTGATAAATGCCTGTGGTGCACGCAGCCGTGGCGCAGCGTGAAGCAGAGCCAGCAGCGTGGAGAGCTGCCTCCAGCTGGGGGGGCAGATCAACACTCCCTGAGGTGAGAGAGGGGGCAGGCACTGCCCAGCCCGGGGGGTGCAAGATGGAGGCCCCACTTCAGAAGGATTAGTCATCAAATAAGCTTTTACGTAAAAGCAACAGGACCATCAGACTTGAGTTAGACTTCAATTTTGGGACTCTTAGAAGACTTGTAGTTTAAAGAGTTACTCTCTTATTACAGGGCTACTGTTAAGTGTCCCTTATTAGACTCTGTATTTATTTAGAACTTATACAACAAGCAATTATTTTATAACTTCTATCCAATAATGCAGAAAATTCAGGTCAGTGCACAAGTTTTATAGTAGAGCTTTTGACATATATGCTGTCTTGTTTAGGTTCACTCACTACAAAACCCTGAGTGTTTTCCTCGAAATAGATATTTGCCAGTGATTTACTGTGCCAATTTTTGTTTTCTAAGTGGTTATAAAAGCTTTTTGTTTAACCTGTGCCCAAATTGTAACCTCTCAGCAACTCTTCATTTAAAATACAGTACTTATTCACTACAGCAAGGCATTTGTGTGCTTGCATAAAGCTCTCTCCATCAATTCTGCAAGATGTACAGAGGAGACAGCTTCGTTTTCCTTCTGACTCATAATTGGCTAACAATCACTATGCATTCTACTAGTCTTTGAAATTTTACTTTGTATGAAGAATGAAAATAAAGCCTGCAATATCAGGATACAGAAGACGTGACATTGGCTCCTGAGCATATTCTGGGTGCACCTCAGTTCCACTTTATTCTAATTTCAATAAATGACTGAGACAGACTATCAATGGCTTTTTGTTTGTGGTATTGCAAACATAGGTTGTGTGATACACAACAAGAAATTATCAGAACAAAAATGTAATGAAAAGGCTGTTGTAGATTTGGCAGCACAAAATACCTGATGTCTTTTACATTCCAGGCAATTAACACATGTCCTCATGCTAGTAACTGTAATTAGATCTAGAGTTCTGGATAGATATCAGGGGAACACAACTGCTCTCTATAATTTTCTTAGAGCTGCATTCACTAAAGAACTGATATATTGCCTGACAACAACCACTTGTTGTATTGACTATTTCAGAAAGAAAAAAGCTGGGTCATGTCACAACCCAGTGATTTTGGTGCCTTGGCACGATGGAATTTTCCCGCCACATGAGAGCCTCTTGCACAGCAAAGGGTTTTTGTTGCAACAGAAAAACCCCGGTGCAAGAGAGTTCCCGCCATTTGAATGCAAATTTGTGTCCCGCTATTGGCCAGTTCTAAATTATTCCTACGTGGAGGCTAGTAATTGGCTTGCTAGCCGTTTAAAATTTCGTGCAACTTCCGCCCAAGTCGGAGAACTTTGAGCACGCTGCAGAGTGCCTCTAAAGAGATCTGACTTGCGGCTGAGCTGATTGATAGACAGATCACCTATTGATACTTCTCCCCGTCGCCAAGCGCAATCCTCGACGTACCCTTTCCCCTCCGGCTTAATTTGTGGACGGATTAGCTGGCCTGAGCCTTGCCAGCTGGAGCAACTCACAGTTGTTCAAGCGACCGGACCACCTGCGTCGCGGCTACAAGCGGAGTAAGTAAAGTTTTTGCAACCATTAAGCTTTGTCTGTCTCTCCATTCACCAGCCCGCCCAGCGAACGAGTAAATTCTAAAATCACCTCGAGTCGGCTCCGGCTGTCCGAGACAGGTCAGTGGCAGTTAGTTTAAACCTATGGACTGATTGTATTACTCTAATCATATGAAAAATCCTTACCCAGAAGTAACATAGTTGATTTCAGTGGGCCAATTCACACATGGAAAAGCTGTATGAAGCACCTTAGATTTGGTGCTAGAGTCTGACTGTGCCCGGCTCTTAGTGAGGTGTCCCCAAGAGTTGTTCTACACCAACAGTAGCCCTGGGATTTGGGAGAGCTGTTTCTGAGTGACAATTTCTATTCTGTTCTCTTCTTGCAGCAACAGGGTAGTCATTTGCTCCTGGGCTGTCCCAGCAGATCAGTACCTCCCCCACTGCCCTGGATTAGTAAGTATGGGCACGTGAGGCCATTCCCAGGACCCAATCTATGATCTTGCTTGTGCAGACTTTTGCCGGTGCTTGGAATGATCTAAGTTGGGGTGAGGGGAGAGGTGAGTGGGAATAGGAGGGGGCTGGCAGGGAGTTAGTGCATCCATGACAGGGATTGGCAGGCCTGTGTGGGAGTTGTCAATCCAGAGGTGGGAGGGATCGGGAGTGGGGGAAGGAGTACAGCCCCAGGACAGGTAAGTGACTGAGCTTCTCCAGCCCTGGGCTGCACTCAAAACATGTTCAGTAGACTGATCTTAGTGCACCTCCTCAGGTGAACTAACATTTATTACCCAATGTAACTTCCCAAATGTATCCACAGCCTAGTTAGGTTGTTTTAAGTGTAACATCTGTATGTACTGTATGGTGAGTAGTTAGAAGCAAAATTCAAGTTTCATCCATTGTCCAGCCTCTTCCTGCAGGGAGGAAATAAATGGTTACATAAGCCCACTTATCCATACGAATGGGTATCCAAGATCTGGAGATCCCCACAGAGAAGGAAGTATTTTCATTCTTATAGCCCTGCACAGATATACATTAAAACCATATTTAACACTTTCTTTGGATCAAGTGCTTTTAGCAAATGTTGTCTGGTGTTACTGACTGACAGTACCCAGTAATCCAAAGCCCATACAGCATTAAAGCTTTGTAAGATGTTCTAGTTTACTAAATGGTTTGGTTTAGCAGAAACATTGCCTTCTCATGCAAGTTACTTCAAGTGGGTGAAAATATATTAACAGAGTTATAAAAAATAGTTTGAGAGAGTCATTGCTCATAAAGCTAACTGTGCCTACACATGCCAGATAGTTGCAAGAAGGAAAACAAAACAAAACAAAAACCAAACTTGTAATATGTTCTGATATTAAAACATGAAAAGTAAAATAATACAAGGATATTCCAGGTGATGGATCATAATAATTGAGGTACACCAAACACAAATGATACACTCTCCATGATACATCTCTCATACCAATTCCTGAAAAATGTATATAGCTCTCCAGTTGTAAATTATAAGACAGGTAAGTCATAATGATTTGATAGCATATATCTATTAAAACCCTACAGCTTGCAATGAACTGACATGGAAAATGAGCCTATAATTGTAAAGTGACTTAATAGTACAAGACAAAGCATTTTCCTCACAAATATTTTTCTTTATATCTTACAATTTTATTAACATTCAACCCTCTCTGAGCCTTCCATAGAATCCATAGAATCTTTCCATTCTGTCCATGGGCACAGACAGTTCCAGGCACAGTGGAAAAACCGCTTGTCAACCTGTCTGGGATTGGAGGGGCATTGATTTCAGGGTCAGCACCCTGTTCCTACCACCAAGCTTATCTCTGCAAGATGTCCCTGCTTGTTCATGCATAGATTATTTTAGGACAAGGCTAGTGGATCCACTACTGTTTCAATCCATAAACTGCGTCTCTTGGCGAGAAAGCCCTGCCCCAAGGCTGGTAACGATGATTACATAGCACTTCTGTTGTTCTCCCATAGCCTGGGCCAGAGAATTCCTCCAATTTATTTCCATGGAGAACTGCAGCATCAGTCCAGTTTCTAGTATTCCTCTTTGAGAGCTGCTTCATCCTAATAAAGAGGGCTGTGCAGCAACTAGGCTTTGTAATAAAATGGTTACGTATTTTAGATCTCTTTAAACTATCCTTCCAGGGGGTTTTTTAACCACTGTGGGAAGAAGCAAAGTATATAAGCAGAAATTCTTAAAAGGAATTTAGTTCTTTTCTCAAATACCAGCCTGTATTATTTGTTGCTTACAGACAAATACATTAAGAATATGAAATGTCAAAGCTGACTGCAAGAACTGATGAAACCTGCTACCAGCAAGCTGAAATAGGTGAACTCAAATACAGCTATATGGTGCAGGAATAGCAAATTTTCCCTAATCTATACAAGTTCCTCTAGTACTTGTAAGCTTCAAACTGAGCTCTGGGAGCTTTGTATCCTGTGCTATACAAATATATGTTCAAACACTAATGGGTAGGTAGGGCAATGCTAGGGTATATTTTTAAAAGCAATGATTGAACCTGCTTCTTCTTAAGGGTAGCAGTGGATAAACTCATCATTGCAGTATGCAGTCCTTATTCTGTTGCTTGTCTTTACACGGGTGTTTATTTAAGTCCACAAAAATATGATGTAGGTCTTAGGCAGTCCCAGTTAATAGGATGAATTTCACCCATTAAAATATAGCTAATGTCAATATTGCTGAAATGGGATCTTAAGACACAAATTCAAGGATTGAGTTTCATCTTGTCCCACTATGTTGGTTCAATTTGACTGCTATCTGCACATTGCACATGAAGGACTGATCTGTATCCAAAACCTTCAGTCACTGTCATTCATTACTCTCACCAGCACAAGTTGCTTCTGTCATCCTGACTATTTTTTATTTCTTGGACTGGCAGAGGGAAGTTGGTGTTGAAAACATGTCTAACCTCTGAACACCAAGAGCTGTAGTCCCAGACTTTTTGTGATTTTCTAGCAAAAGGAGCATGAGGCTCAAAGGTCTTTTTCTCTCAGAAGACTGAACAGGTTTTTAGTTGTAGTTGGACCCTATGAAGTGAGAACATACTGGTGAAAAAGGTAGAGACAATGAGGACTATGAACATTAGTAGCTTTAGCTCTGCTGACAATAAAGCTAACAGCAGGTCCTAAAATGTACCCAATATTTCCCATATAAGTTTCTTTAGAATTTAAGAATATGAATGTTAGGAATACTTTTCTATGGCAAAAAATGTTAGTTCTATGCAAAGAAATATCAGTCCAAGAATTCACATCATGTGTCTGTTTGCCAAATGTTTAAAGGCTAGTTAAACCAATGGTAGTCATTTTAGTTTACTCCTTTGGCTTTACCCTAAAGTCTAGTTTTTGGAAGAGGTCAGCACCCTAAGTGGAGTCAATTTTCAAAAGTACTCTTTAAAAATCAGTCCAGAGATGCTGCAGTAGGATCTGCTGAGTACCAAGGTCTTTTGAAAACTCTCACCCAGTTTGGGGAGGTTGATCCCTTAGAAGTTTGGCCTTATACGTGTTTTTGCTTTTTCCCTTACAGCCAGCATCACACACAGTGTTCAAGATAAACCGGAAAGCTGCTTGAAATCAGTCTGCAAGTACAAACCTTTTACAACCGATGCACAGTAGTTGTTTTAACAGTAAAGAGTGTTACGTCCATACAACAGACAACATGCTGAGGCAGTACATAATATTCACAAAGTAGATCCTTTATTTTTTTACATTGGTGGGATCCTTTCCACATTATTTAATTTTTTTTACTTACAACTTGAAATGTCAATCCCCTCTTTTACTGTATACCAGTGAATGTCTTGAGCGTATTTATAACTGAAATTACTTTTAGCTATCTGGCTTTTATATTAAACATCAAAATACCACAGAGACTTCCAAAGTACACTGGAATTTACTTTGCTTTGCAAAGAAGTATTGTACCTTTGTACAGAAAAATAAAATTTCAACCATATGTTATATTCTGTGGCCCAGATAGTCCCCCAGCAGTTATCCAGCTAAACAGTCTTGCAGACAATAATTAGAAGCAATTAATTCTGTTCATTCCAATTATACTGTGGCAATGGATTAATAGAAACTATGCCCTTTGCCCTTAAATCATCATGCTTTACAATTCATTGTTCATTCTTGGTTTAAAATAAATTTCACAGTATGTTGATTAAAAGGTCAAAGGGCACAATTTCTAATTTATTGCCACAATCTAATTAGGCAAGTAAGTAAAGGAACATAAGATGCCTCAACCTCCCCCGCACCCCCCAACAATCCTTTTTGCTCTTTATTCCCCAAATATTGGGGGGGGGGGGGGTGTTTCTGATAAGAGAAACAAAAATAAAACTACTGCTTTAAGATACAGCTGAAAAATTCACAGGCCCAAAACACCCCTTTCAGATACGGGAGCCTCCCACATGCAGGTCTTCATGCAGATCTTCACTCGGAAGGGAGACTCAAAAGACCCTATAATACCAACCTTTTGAATCCTTTCTAGGTCTCTTTTGGCTCATGGGCTAAAGACATCATGACAAATACTTGTTTTACCAAGCATTACAGTTTATTGTCTGACTTTCTGTAACCTCAGTTTTACGGGTAGATAAAATGCAATTTATCTGACAAAATGCGTAATACCTTACAGAATATTTTTACTCGTTAAAAACAAGTTGCACTAGTTTCTTTTATAAGGGTCCACAGTTATTAACAATTTACCTTGTGATAATTTATAAAAAATGCTTAATGCATGCACACAAGTGATTCGAATACTTTCCCCTGTAACATAAGAAAGAAACTAAGACTTTTACACAGAAACAATATTAGCTTGCTAATAAAGGAATGTGACATATCAACATAGTTCATAGGATCCCCAATATCTCTGAGTTAGCAACATGTTTGGGCTGATGGCACTTTATTAAGTTATATTAAATTCAGTTTCAGTAAAAAAAAATTAAGATTTGTTTGACCAATAAAGCTCAACTAAAGATTTAACAAAAAGTAAATGTTTTCTTTAACTAAATATTTTTCAGTATCTTAAATTATACCACATATTTACAGCATTTAGATGTTGTCTACATATTTCAGTAATAGGGCAATTTGAAGTTTCCATTCTATTTGAACTGAAATATTTAACTGTGGAGCAAAATGCCTTAGATTCTGCAAATATACAGAATGCATAATTCATAGTGTAAAATGATGCTTTTAGGTTTTTCAGTAGTGAATTTTTTTTTCTCCTACATGTTTTCTTCCCAGAAAATCCTGCACAGCTTCTCCTTCTACAAAACTAACCCCCACAATAAGGGGTTCTGTTATTTATCTATTGATAGCTATTGGATGTTTCCATTGTCAAGGTCTGTCATTTTGCTTTCAATAACATTTCCTAAGACATCCATCTTCTTTCCAAGAATATAGCATTAAATCAAACCATTCTTCTACAACTTGAGGAAGGTTCAGGGAAAGGTAATGTAAATTATATTTCAATTAATATATTTAAACCCAGGAAGTGATTTTACATAACTTTAAAAAGGCAAATTCTTTAGTTGTACTGTAGACTTCCAAAATAAATATGACAATTAACTCATTAGCATGATGCTATCAGTAGTTGCTAACAGCTTCCAACACGATCTCTGGGAATAAGCCGTAGTTCTGAACCATGCTTTAGGAAAACATTTCCTGAACACAAAAAAAAAGAAAGAAAGTTGGTCATCTGTAGGTTAAGTAATGTATATGTCATAAGAGCTGTTCAAGATTTACTTACAACCTATGTCTCTTTTAAAGAAGGACATTATTATAATCATGTATGAATTTTAAATTCTTTAGAAATAATCCTTCTTATTCATCAGTAATTGATTACATGTTTCATAAAAATTATTTTTCCTCCTACATTTGCACCGTCTAATAAGTACTTCACAATTTAAAAGAAAAATGCCTGGTACAAGGTTACACATTAAACTCATCAGTTAACAATATGATTTAAATTATTTCAGTATAATTTTAAAGATAACATAAAAATGAAGATAAAAAAGAAACAAATCAAAGCAGAGATGCTGTAAATATAAAATAATTTAGGTCTTCCCAGAATTATGCATGGACTGCCTGCTATGTCCCATTTATTTATTTTCTATTTTGCAAAACAGACTAAGTTTTAACAGTGTAGACTGAATAACATACAGACAGTTGAAATATCTGAACTGACTGAAAAGGAAAGAGGAAAACTTAATGGCTTTTCAAGCTGATCTGTTGCATTTCATTTGTCCACTCTATCCTCCAACAAATAGAAGCTAAACTACAATAATTTAGCACCTGGTTCATTCCAATGCAAACTCCCCCACTTCAGCTTCACTTACTGAGGGACACGAGGAGACAATGATTAGATGACATGCATTTAAAGCTTATCCTCTTTCCTTTTTAGAGTGGTATAATTGTTTAATCTGTCCACAACCATAGACTAGCAGGTTGCCAAACAGATTAAGATCTTTAAAGTAAGAGAGAGAGGGAAAAAAAAGAAGTTTACTTGCAAAGCACTGCTTTGTCATTTTATCTACATATTCCAAAATAAACATTTGCTTGTGTAAGGGCTTTTCGTGGTTTTCTTTGTTCATTACTCAGAAGAACATGTTTTAAGTGAAATTTTGTTTGTGCTTCAGTCTCATTTTGGTAATAAAAAGTATCCAGTTTCCTTCCAGTTTTCCATAAAACTAGGATTTTATTGCAATCAGGTCAGTGAAAGCAAATGAAAAATAGTTAATATTAAGACTGTACCTCTGACAAATTCATCATCTTTATGTCAGTTTTGTATTAAGAGAAGAAAAATACCACTACAAGGAGATATGCCAATGCAAAACATTTTCTTAGAAGGGCTGTTCAAGCAGTAATATTGTTGGATGATATAAAATGGACAATTTGGAACCATAGTTTGTGTTGCTTCATTATTTATTTAATTATAAATATAACCTGGAACCATTTTTCTATTGCATTAAATAACAAGACCCAGAATATTCAGACAGATCTAAATAAAAAATTATGAATAATAATTATGTGTTCTCAAATAAATTTATGTCTTTGCATAATGCTCTGAAGGCTTTAGACATAGCTTTCAACCATTGTCTAGTATTTCTACATTCTCTTTTGAAAAGATATTAAAATTCAGATTACCTCCATGAAAACATAAATCAATGCCAGCGCTCTACATCAGTTGGGCATAGAATGGAAATAATTTCTTCAATTAGACTTCACAAATCACTACTCACCTGCTGTCTGTGCAGGGTTGATTCCTATTCCATCTACAAAAAAGTTAACACACAACCTTTTTTAAAATTTTTGCTAAAATAACAAAAATACACTATCTACTAGTGTGAACATGCAGCAGCAAAATGAGGGCAAAATATTTAAGGTTCTAAAAATACATTGCACTGGTTATTAAATCCCAGTGCTTTAAGCACTGATTTGCCATTGTCAAAACCTATGACCAGTTTTATTTACTGCAGCACCAGATGATTAAAATCTTCAGCACAATGAAATGCAAGATATATTGTAGTATACAACCATTCAAATAGTAATAAAATATTGGTGATAAACCCCATGTTGGAAGTCTACAATCTCATGTAATCAAAAGCCCAGAATGAACTTTGAGGATCAGACAATTCATCATCTTCTGAAGCAGTACATATTACAGGAAAAAAATGGTGCTGAGACCCTTCTGCAATACAATTTAACTGACACTACAGTATAACAACTATACTCTTACCATTTGTTATAATGGCACTTGTAGCTGCAGGAACTTTGAACTAAAGAAAACAAAAATATAACAAATTTATTTTAAAGACAGAGAACAAAGTGGAAACTACTATTGTGACTATTCAAACTGTAATTTTAGTTTAGCCTTGTATAAAGAATACTTATGAGAAAAACTTATTCAAATTCATAGGATCATCAAATAACTGTTTACTTGAAGCCTATTATACAATATGAAAACAGAACAAGTATAGCATTAAATAGCTGATTAGATATAATTATTTGTACTATCCAGAAAAAAAAAATATTCAAGCTAGGTCAACTGTATAAAGAGTTCAGTAACATTAGCTCCAATAATACCGAGGAATACAGCACTCAAAATGTTCATGGAAGTAACTACTGCCTTGCAAACATTTTTTGAAACTTTAAATGTCACATGCAATGAGTATTTGGTTTTGTTAACATTGCTCAGAATCCAGATGCCACAATCTTCTGAAATAAAAAATCCCAGATAAATAAAACCCCAATCTGGCAAACATACATGAATTGGCAATCGACTTAAGTACTACTCATGTGCATAAGCACTTGCAGGAACGGAGGATAATTTTCTGATCTTTGGGCTCGAAAGACATGGCTTCAGGAAAAACAGCTCAAGTCTGAAATCTGCATCTGTATAGTGCTCATATTGTGAGCAACAGTTAATTTTGAGTGCATGAGCCATCACAAAGTTAGTGCATTTAGTAATATTGATTTTACATACACAAGACAGAATTGCAATGCAGACTTATTGCTAGGCTTTACCACGGGGCTAAGCAAGCATGGGTACAAGCATGGGTTGGTACTGTATGTTAATTTACAGTTACTTTACACACACAACTCCAAAAAGGGAAAGAAAAAAGCCGTTCCAAACTATTTCTTTCAGGTACTGAACAATTTCTTTCAGATACAGCATTACATGCTTGAGCAATTTTGATACTTTTGTTAAAACTGTACAATGCAGTTCATTCTACCACAATATTAATAACTATTGTGCGCAGGCTTCCATACATGTACACGTGCACTGCTTTTTATTACTGGTCTTGAAATTCTGACATCTTATTAAGCTTTGGATGATATCTTCTTTCACTGTCTTATACTGCAGAAGTTACCTGCTCTTTGAACAGCAAGATTTTGTACCAACTCTCAGGAGTAAAAGTACTTCATTGACTATGCAGGGTTATGCCTGTAAGCAAGATTGTTTTATCTAGGCATGTGCTAGGAAACAGCTCTAGTAGTTTCCCTGCTATTCTTACTGCATGAAAGCTTGAAAAACAAAAGAACAGTAGCCTAAAGGCTATATCATTAATGCACTGTTAGCCACTCTCAGCAAACTTCTCTATTTTCTACAAGGTGAAAATGGGTAAAGCAGTTTGCAACTGAACTGCCAATGGGGAATAATAGCAAGAACCTACCTATTAAAATTTTTGGGAAACTACATTATTATCCCTTTGGCCAAAGTGGAATTATGTTTTTAGTCTGTACCCTGGCTTATGTCTTATATCTTGTGAACTCCAGATCTTTTAATGCTCACTTTCTAAGAGACAACTAAAAGAAAGTTAATTAAACTCTACAGAACCTTGCATCACTTACTGAATAAAGTAGAAATAATTTATCCACGATTTACCTAATTAGGAAGATACCCTACAATATGGTGCAGCTCATTAGAAATCAACGAGCTTGGGTCTCATTTTTCTAAATCACATCAGCTCCTAAGAAAAAGCCAGATATATTTAGCACTGGCCTCGAACTATTTCTTATCGTACTGCTTCACAAAACAAACCTAAAAAACTAATGGTTTTCCTTGATGTAACCAAGGAGAAAGAGGTAAATAAAACCAAAGAAGTCTATCATTAAAATGGAATATGAACATGAAAAATAAAATCATACAATGAAAACTGAAAAAAGGGAACAAGAACATTGCTATTTAGCTCTTGAATTCTGTGCCCTTTATTCATTCAATTCAGAATGGACAACAGCATAATTTGAAGGAAAATTTTAGGCTAGGGTCTTCAAGATGCATCCAATAAAGAACTTCGGTGCCTTCTATGTTTTGCACAATGCCTCAGTTTCAACAGCAGGGATAATTAGATCCCTTCTCTCCCCCAGCTCCAGGCCAAATCTATTGGGTCTCGGTAGTTAAGGCTGTCTGCTGGGAGGTGGGCATGTGATCTGACGAACACTGGGTTAGGGGTGCTCAGAAGTGGATCATGCAGCCTGCAGGATTTCTTGATGAGGCTGCCAGCAGTGAAGAAGCCTCAGCGTCAGTGCCAGCAGCAAATGAGTTAAATGACATTGCTGCTTAACCACCATCACTGGGGCTGCTGTTTCAGCACAGCAGCTCTGGCAGCTGCAGTGACAGAGACTTTAGGCTGCTGTTGCCAACACAGCAGCTCTGGCAGCCATTGCAAGAAGCCCTAGAGGCTGGAGCTGGAGGTGGGACATTCAGTCTGTAGGAAGCCCCACAGGCTGGAGCCTGCCAATGGGACCAAATACATTCAATGGCTATGCCTGAGGAGGAAATTAAATATAGGTGTCGCACAACTCCTTGATGCTATAGTTGGTAACCCACTGCATAAAAGGTCAGCCCCACTTGCTGAAAAGGATGGAAGGACAGGGAAAAACTAGGAGTCAGGAGAGGTCATTAAGGCTTGGCCAACAAGGCTAGAAGGTGATAGACTAGAACTGCCTGGATAAGAGACCAGGACAAGACATTTGAGGAGAAAATGCTAGGACTGGCTAGGCAAAGAGAACAAAACTTGGGCAAGGATTCACCAGCAGGAGACAGGCAGAACTTAAATGTTAGAATACACAGGGCAGATGAGGTCAAATCAAGGCTTAGTGGAGAAGGGGCAGAAGTCTTTGTCCACGAGGAAACACTTTCCTCTAGAGCCTGCGAGACATCTGAGCCTTACCATTCTTATGTTATCAGCAAGTTTCTATGGAAGTCCCTGACAGTGTCTCAGTTTCTCTAGCCTAGTCTTCAGTGGGTGACAATTGTTATAAGCAGACACATGGGTCTCTATATCATGCCACAGAAAGACATTTCTGCTTTTTCAGTTTGCTCTTTTAAAAACCTAGAGAATCGCATACAAAAATCTATAGTAAAAAAAAAATAAATAAATAATGCACTCAGACAACAGGAGATGCTGGAATAAGCCTTGTATATATATAGACATTCCAAAATAGAATTCTTAGATTAAATAATCAGACAACTTTTCCCATAAGACTTCTGCATTATTTAGAATGAACTTCCTCTGGACTGAACGAGCAGTGTGCAGTGAAGAAGGCTTTCTACATCATTTATTGCAGAACTTAGAAGATATGCAGTGACTGAAGTAGGGAACTGCATAAAGATAAAGGAGAGCTCAAAGGAACTGAACAGACTGGATTATTTCTCTGCCTCTGCTTTAGATTTCATGTGTGCAACTTAAACCAAACCTTTCTGGGATGGTCACTAATTGCATGTTCCTCATTTTGTTTGTCCAACTTGAGATCCTGAGGCCTGCTTTGCAAAAAAGTACTCAGTATTTACTAAAGTAAATGAAGAAAATGAAAGCTGTGTTTGAAGATAAACAGTCAAAAATATGAAGTGATTAAAAGAAAATAATCAAGAGATACTCAGGTCAGGCTGGGTACCAAAAAACCCCCAAAACCAAAACTAAAAAAAACCTCAAACAAACAAAACCAGTGGTTGCAAGGGTGAGGGTCCAACAACAGACCAAGTGGCAGCTAGGTGGGCAGGGGCATCAGTACATCACTCGGTCACTCCACTGCTGCTGATGTCCCATAATTCTGCAGCAGGACATACCCCTCCTGCCACATCCCCAACTTCTGTTATGTGGAACAGTTCCGTAGACCAGATCTAGCCCATGGCCTGGATGTTTGGCACCCCTGATCTACTTGACTAAAGTTAGTCACTTCAGCACTTAAAGACTGGATGTTTTTCCAATGGAAACATAAGTGGTCCTTTTTTCTTATGCATCACGCCAATACTTTTGGCAGTGGTTAGAGGAAATGCAGATTACAAGTAATTGGGTAGAACCTGCAATATGCACACTTCCTCCATGGATCCCACAGAAGGAGACTAAGTGGCTTGCTCTAAGTCACACTGACATCCTCAGTGGGAACTGAACACAATTCTTGTAAGTTCCAGGCCAATACCTTTACCGCTGGTTCATCTATCCCTCCCTCCCTCCCTCCCCCTCCCACAATTAAAAACAAAACAAAACAGATAAAAGAAATCATTTAAGTTCTAGTGAATCAATGGCTTAGGCTGCTGCACAAGTTATTTCTCTACCTTGGGGAATGGATTTTTTTCCAAGATCTACTATCAAATCAAAGATTGCAATATTTTAAGGTTATGTACCTGTATGAATTCTCTCCTGCTGTTTAAGAGGAGCAACAAATCTCTTACAGCAATAAAGTTACCTTCTGGAGTAATAAAATAGCAGACATATGCATGAAAACATAATACATTTAAGCATCGTGTAAAAAAGGAAATTAAAGAGAAAGTGTAAGTTGATTTCTAAATAATTAAGATGTATTTGTCATCTTTAATATATGACAATGGAATTAACTAAAATAGTTGGTAAAGGGGAGGTTTTAATGGTTAAATCAGGGATAGGCAATGTTTTTGGCTGCAGTGCCGAAAAAACCACGATGTCTACCTAGTAAGGTGCCGGAGTGCTGGCATGCCAGAAAAATAGAACCAGGTCAGGAGGTACAGGGTAGGATGCAATGCATAGTAATACAGTTAATAATCATAAATGTTGGGGGTGGGGAGGGTATTTTAGTTTGTTTTTTATGGCAAACACCAGGTTTTCTAAAAATTCTAAACATGGGGACAAATAAAACTTCATCTACTACCTTCGTTCTTGTATATTCTTTTTTTCTTTAGCATGTTGTGATTGGGGGG